TTAGATCTGACCAGATATAATTATATCTGGTCAGATCTAAACCGTTTTCCCCGGGTAACTGTAGTTTCCCATCTATCGGAGGATTACCATGCATTATCGAATTATGTAGTCTGTGGCAGATCACTTTGCCCATCGAAAAAAAGTCAGGATCGAAATTTTTGCGTTGCTATAGTTTGTGCTGATTAAATTTAATAATTTCAAGTAGATTAATTGTTATAATTAAATATAATTAATTAATATCAGTAAAATAAAGTATGAATTACTGTTATAATATAAAATTTAGGAAAAAAAATTACCGTAGAATTAAATAAAATTTTGCAATCTCGAAATACCGTTCTGCTTACAGTAAACACACTCGGTAGTCTGGCGCTCCGTTTACAACGGATTTGAACGGAACTTGGCGCCAGATTCTACCGAATCTGTGGATTTTACATTTATAAGTGAACTACCTTCAACTTTCAAAGTATTAATTTAAAATTCAATAACTCAATCTTACGTTTCACGACTGTATTGACCATTTTGACCAGTGTACTTGGTACAATGTAGATCTATATAAAATACAGAACCTTCTTCCACACTATTTTCTAAATCTGAATTCTCCAAAGATGAACAATTGGCTTAAAAGAATAATACAAAATTAAAAATTTGCAATTAATATTTGAATTATTAAAAATACTTACCGCTGACTTCAACCCACAAAACTGCTATAATACACAAAAATAATTCACAATAAAATTTCATTTTGATTCTCATATTCTTAATAGCTTGGAAATACCCGAAAAACTGATTCCTCAGCACCTGAGTCTGAATACTTATAGATGACGAACTTTCTAAGCGAAGCCCACGTCGATTTCGTCATGGCTATTTTCTAATAACGAATTCTCAAGTCTTGCCCATAAGCTTTTCAAAAAATTAACTAAAATTTCTCCATAATTCAATAATAATTAACAAAATTTAATACGTAACTTAATTTTTTTAGAACTTTGAAAGAATATTTTAATTTCAGGTAATTAATTACAAAGAAAATTTTAAAAATTTAACTGCGCACAATATTTTTTGTTTAAATAAAATTATTATTTCTGAAACCATAAATTATTATCTACTTCTATAAAAGTATAAGCCACAAATTTTTCCTTAAACTTCAAAAACACTTCATAACATTTCATAAACATAAAATTTATTACAAAAATTATCAGAAACCTTGAATTTTTCTGGCGATACAAAATAAATATACTCAAATTGCATAGAGAAATATTTTAATATAATATCCTCTTTTTTTGGCATTTTCATAAATTTTCAATAAATTTTACACTTTTTATTTTTTTTTATACTTCTCGATTTTCAGAAACTTTTTTTGGTCATTACTCTTTAGATAGCAAAAACAAAATTCAGTGATCCAGATATTTATTTTTACAATCAAAAATTAATTTTACAAACAGCATAAATTATGATGTTATAGACAAAATTTTTTATGAAAATTTCAATAATCTAGACAAAATTTTGATTATGAAAAATTGAATACATCCAACATTTAACATCCACCATCTAACATAACGGTGACGGGCAGCAGTCAGGGAATGACTCTGAAAGTTTGTAACTGTTCACAAATTTTTTCTGAGGACAGCGACTTTCAGAACATCTATAAGTTCAAAATAAATTATATTATATAAATAAAAAAAATTTCACTTAAAATTTTCTTACGTTACACCTGACCATCCACTGTCTTCTCCGCAGGTGAATAAACCACAACCATACTTGATTGAGGTACCTACGGTAACATTAGCTCCATTGGGATCGTTCGGATTCAAACAATTAGCTTTTACATAAACAATGAATAATAAAATAGTTAATAAACAACTAAAAAAATTTATAACTTCAATTACAAATAAGCAAACTTACCTCGCGATTCAAGACACAACGATGCAATCAGTGCACTCACAAATAAAACAGCAATAGTTTTCATGTTTATTTTAAATTTATTGATTTACTGACCCAGTTGAACAGGACTTGATTACTAGTTAAATCTTTGATTGTCTCGATATTTATACGAAGTGTATCGATGCTATTCCGAACACTAACGGATGTGGTGATAAAAATTTAAGAGTCATATTTATATAAATAAAACTATGTTAAAAAATATATGTTGTTTCGATGTCATTAACGTAAGCATAGATTTGTCTTTTATCGTAAAAGTTTAAAATAAAAACTTTGGGTTCAACAACTTGCTTGGAAATTAAACATAAACCTGGAATATAAACAGCGATAAAATAAATCTCTAGTGAATTAAAAATTATCATAAATAAATAACTGTATTGACGAATCTCAGTCGTGTAAATTTAAAACGAGATAACACGAAATTTGTGTAATTTTATATTTATATTGTCGAACACAACAACTTTATTTTAAAATAAATTGCCTGATTAATATAGGTGTACTTTGTGTTTAACGATCGTAAATTTATTCAACGGTATACATTATAATTATAATCATCATAGTTGATAAAAATATTTCAATCAAGACGTTTAATCAGTCATTATTTATCCTCACCTGTGTCAATATTATTTTTTCAATAAAATTATTTAAAAAGTTTGGAAAATCCAAAAGTGCACGCCTCATAATCTCATTTTTTAAAATAAAATTGATTAAAATAAAATATAAAAAGCAAAATAATAAAAAACAGAAAACACTGCTATGGTTTAGTGGCGCCATAACTCCAAGGTGAGGAAAAAAAATACTAAAATAAAATGTCTAGATAGAAATACAAAAATATCCACAGTCATATATTAGTTTTTTATAAATAATAACTTAATGACAGTGAATTGAACGCTCATATTAATTTAGAAATTCTGTCGTGTGTTACTTTAGATAATTCAAAAAAAATTATTCCGGTACGATAATTTTTTCGACCAATTTCTCTGCCACATACACCCATTCATCCACGGACGTCCAAAAAAGATTATGTTTAATGTTATTATTTATTATGTTAAACAAAAAAATT